GGCGGTGGAAGTCGAAACTGCCAACGTGACTTCGTCGCAGATTTGCTGTGCCTGTTTAAAATGACAACATGTAAGTGGCATCACTGGTAAAACCTGATGCAAATAGACCCTATGACTCATGCAGGACAACACTTGGGGAAACTCCTCGCGCCGTCAGCACTCACCTTCACCGTTTCACAGTTAAAGAAGTGGATGTCTGGCTTCTTCTGATCGTCACCTTGGCAGACTAACATAAGGAGGGATGGGAAGTGTTTTTCTGTGTTAACAGCTTGACAGCGGAAGATGGATCTGAAGGCGTAGCTCTCCAGCTCGTCCTGCAAGGGCAGATAGAACTGATTGGTCATTGTGGAGGCAAATATGTGTGGTATTTCACAGCTGAGCACATTTAAATCTCTTCATCATCCACTGAGATGCGCCTGCCCTCACCTGACTCTGTACGTCTCTGAGATAAATGCCCCCTGTTCCCACATCCAGGTACATCTGTTGACTCCATAGCTTTTTATTCTGAGCCAGGAAGGAAAGACGGTTCTGAGCTTCCTCAACGCTCTGCACTTCCCCGTTCTGCAGCGAGAATGTCAGAAGGTGCTGCAAAGCAATGAGGAAGAATGAGCACATGAGGAAAAATGCACGATAAAAACACTCAAGAGAAGGCACTCACTGTGACAATATGTCGAGTGATGTTTGTCATGTTTTTTCCACTCTGTCAGCTGGAGATGTGTAAGATAAAGCAGCTTTCCTAAAAAAATCACAGACCTAGAAAAGGAAGCAGAATACCAGGACCACTCAGAAACACATTCTGGACAGAGTTACGAGTGACATTTGTAGATGGAGAGAGTAACGATGGTGTTGCTTTAACAAGTTATCAGCAGCTCCTACTTCCTAAAGCTAAACAGACTTACTCACAACAGAAATATCCTCATTCAAATTTGCCCTGCCCCTCCCCTTTTCCAGCTTACGTCTGTCTATCCCAGCTCTGTTTCAGTAACACAGGATTCTGGTGAGTGAGTGAGTGAGTGAGTGACTGAGCGAGCGAGCGAGCCGCCCGACCTGTCTGGTAACAGTTCAAAGTATGATACCAACCTCTCTGTTTCTCAGTGACCACTGAACAAGAGTCACCGGCATCAAAGACAGCAAACACTTGGTATAACTCACATGGTGTCACTTAAGAACTCTGCCCACAAAAAATATATCACTTAACCTCACATTTATGAGCACTCAGTGCCAGCCTGGTCTTGCACGAACATACAGTGTGGCATTTCAAAATGAACACTGGGACAGTGCGGTAAGCATGATGATTTGTGCACAAACTATAAGTAAAAGCACTGTTTTAAATCAAGGAAACATTTCTACATCTAAAGAAAGCTTTACTTTGCATCCATCCATTATGTTTTTACAAAATATATTCTATGTGCGCAACTTAACTGTATAGATTTGACAGAAAGAGCTGTGGTCTTGTTGATGTTAGGTAAGAAGATTAACACAATCATGCTAGGTTAAGTCAGAATTAAGTCAAGTGTCCATGGTGCTTTTGATTTTAGTACATTTTCATAAGCAAACCTTCAAAATCTGATGACAAATACTGAATTACTGGTAAATGTTTGGTTACACCTTCATAAATTACTACGAGTATCCAAGAAACCTATACAGCATACAACAAAATGACTTACCATACTCATCTAAATGTATTTGAGAGTCAAATAATCAAAGACCTGAGATGTCAGAGACTGGAAATAGATGTCAAATCAGCTTACCGTAACTTGGTATACTTCCAGTGCCTGGATCTTGAGGTTAACAGAAACCAAAACCTGTCTCGAGCCTTAGTGTGACTAGAGGTATCTTACTCACTCTGAGGTATGAAAGCCTTGACAAGCAGAGGTGTGTCACACTGTGGAGTCCTGCCCAGTATTTCACCCCACCTTAAAGATAAAAATATATATTTGTTTCTCTCTCCTGTACACCTACAAGTGCATTCCACACAGGAAAAATGTAAAGGTTAAAATGCAGGCTAGGCTAGGCTGCAGTTGGAAGATAAAGTTGGTGAACGGTGACACAGAGTGAGTGGGTGGAAATAAATGCTCAGAGGCCTGAACTGAACCTAGTCGCTGTGCCGCTGGAGTGGGCTGCCACGGGGAGTAACGGAGGGAAGAGAGGTCCATGCAAAGGTGCAGTGTGCAGGAAAATAAAACAAACCAGAGATTGATTAGCTCAGATAATTTTTCATTGTCAGTACTTGAAGCAAATTGTGGGGTGGAAAGGTTTTTGGCTTCTGGGAGGAACATGCCAAAAGAGTTTGAGAATGACAAATG